AGGGCTCCAGCAACAGGAAGGGGGCAAGGAAATGTCTTGGGGGGGGCTCCAGGGTTGAGGTGTGGGGAGTCTGGGACTGACTGGAGGCTGGACACTTGGGAGAAGTCAGCGGTTAAGGCAGACGGGTGGTGGCTGGGGGTTGTCTGTGTCTCTGCAACCCCTTAACCCCACCTTCCCGCTCCCTCCACCAGGAGCCTTCCTTCTCCTGTACCTCCTGCTCCTCTTCGTCATTGGGATCCCCCTGTTCTTCCTGGAGCTGGCGGCCGGGCAGAGCATCCGCCAGGGCAGCATTGGGGTGTGGAAGCACATCAGCCCCCGCCTTGCTGGCATTGGCTTTGCTAGCTGCGTGGTGAGTGCCTGGGACTGGCACTGGGGAAGGGAATCAGGTGGTGGGTAGGTGGTGGGGACAGCAGGGCACTGCTGCAAGGAAGCTTGCAGCACTGGGGCAAGGGGTAGACCCAGCCCCTGACATGCCCCACTCCAGACCTGGTCACATCGTAGAGCCAGGTGCGGGCTGATGGTCTCGGGTGACAGTACACGTGGCAGGGATTTAGTCCTTAGGGTTGCATTCTAGGCCCCCTAATTTGAAATGTTGGGTTTTTAATTGAAATTGTGGGGTTTTATTTTTCTGTCACTGTTACAGTGAGGGGCCCAATCCTTTTTTTTTTTTGGCAAGGGGCCTGATCCTTTTTTTTTTTCCAGCGGAGCCTGCCCACAATGGCCCCTGAGCTGCCAGGGGTCCCATTCCTTCCCTCTGCTGCAGTGATGCCTCCCAGGGCCACCTGGGTGTGCTGCTGATGGGCAGGAGCTGCCCCAGCTTAAAGGCAGCACCCAGCCTGATCTAACTCTTCTCTGACCCCGAGCTGGGGCAGCAGCCGGCCTGCTAGCCGCCTGCCCAGGCAGCCCCAGGGGCACCACCACCGCGGAGGGAAGGACTGGTGCCCTCCTGCAACTCAGGGGTTGCTTGGCCTGCTGACAGCTCGCCCTCCCCCGGCTGCTGGAGAGGCAGGCAAACTCCGCCAAAAGAAAATAATAATTGGGCCCCTTGCCACATCTGCCTTCAGCAGATACCTGAAGGCAGAAATGGCAAGAGGCCCCAATCCTTTTTTCTGTGGAGCCTGCCCGCCTCTGCTGTGGCTGGGGGTGAGCTGACCAATAGCTGCAATGCATCATTGCAAACTAAACTACATTGGGATGTAGTTTAGTTTGCAACAATGCAAACTTATTTAAAACCTGCAAAACTCTTGTACGTGTAGGGTGACGCCATTAAGTCACACAAAATGACATTTTCGTCACGTGTACATGGTAATGGCGTCACATATACAAGCGTCCCTCCATTTTAGGTGTGCAGCTTTGTGGCGCTCTACTACAATGTCATCATTGCCTGGAGCCTCTTCTACCTTGGCCACTCCTTCCAGTATCCACTGCCCTGGGAGAGCTGCCCTGATGTCCCCAACAGCACCCAGATGGGTATGTGCTGCCTCCCCAGTTGCACCCCATCACCCCAGCCAGCCACCAGGGGGCACTGCCTGCCATTTCCCCTCTCCCCACACTGCACCCCTTGGGCTTTGCTTGGCATTGATGGCTGCTGTCTCCTCTCTCCATGATGCCTCCATACATCACATCCTATTTCCCCTGCCAGATATCAGAGTTCCCCCCTTCCCGCTCCCTGCATTCCCCCACCCATGCCCCATCTCCTTGGCCTGGCACCAGCAGGCATTGTTCCCCCCACTCCCCCTGGGTTCATAGAATCATAGAAGTAGGGTCGGAAGGGACCTTGTAGATCTTCAGGTCCGACCCCGTGCCTGGGCAGGAAGAAAACTGGGCTCAAATGACCCCAGCCAGGTAGGCATCAAGCCGCTTCTTAAAGGCCCCCAGGGTAGGAGCCAGCACCACTTCGCTTGGAAGTCGGTTCCAGATCCTAGCCGCCCTAACTGTGAAGTAGTGCCTTTGGATGTCTAATCTAAACCTACTCTTCAACAACTTGTGGCCGTTATTCCTTGTTATCCTGGGGGGCGCTAGGGAAAACAATGTCTCCCCCAAACACTTCTGGTCCCCCCTAGTGAGTTTATAGACTGTCACCAGGTCCCCCCTCAGCGGGGTGCCCAGAACTGGACACAGTACTCCAGCTGTGGCCTTACCAGTGTCGCGTAGAGGGGGAGGATCACCTCCTTGGACCTACTTGTGATGCACCTGTGGATACACAATAAGGTCCGGTTAGCCCTGCTGACTGTGACCTCGCATTGTCGGCCCATGTTCATCTTGAAATCAGTAATGACTCCAAGATCCCTTTCTGCCTCTGTGCTCTCAAGAAGGGAGTTTCCCATCTTATAAGTGTGCTGCCAGTTACTACTGCCCAAGTGCAGCACCTTGCACTTGTCAGTATTGAAACGCATCCTGATTTTGTTAGCCCACCCCTGCAACCTATCCAGGTCTTTCTGCAGTCTTTCCCCCCCTGCTAACGTGCCCACCTCACCCCAAATTTTGGTATCATCAGCAAATTTGAACAGGTTGCTTTTCACCCCATTGTCCAAATCGCTGATAACTGGGTTCTCACTGGGTGCCCTGTTGTAGAGCCCGAGTGCGCCCGCAGCTCCCCCACAACATACTTCTGGTATCGAGAGGCCCTGGATGTGTCAGACTCCATCAGTGATGGGGGGGGCCTGGACCTCACGCTGACCGGCTGCCTGCTGGGCGCCTGGAGCCTGGTCTGCGTGGCCATGATTCGGGGCATCAAGTCTTCTGGCAAGGTGAGTGCTGTGACCTGATCCCCACTTGGGCAGGGGGAGTGTTGGAGCCTTCTCCCACTCTTCCCTGACCCCACTTAACCCCCCCACTCACCCCTGGCCTCCCTTGGGCAGGGATTCTCCACTGACCTCTGACTCCTGACCCCCCTTGGGCAGGGGAGGTGTTGGACCTACCCCCCTCACCTAGCCTCCCACAACCTCTGACCCCACAAGGCAGGACAAGTGCTAGCCTACCTGCCTGTTCTCCCCACCCCCTGATCCTTTTCAGCCCCCACTCTCCTCTCCCCACCCATCTCTGCCCTCTGGGATGGCCTCAAGCTGGGGTGCACAGGTGGGGGTAGTGGCAGGGTGGGGTCTTGTGAGGGAGGGCCACAGGTGAACACCCACTTCATTTTCTTCTGTAGGTGCTGTACTTCAGCTCACTCTTCCCTTATGTGGTGCTGCTCTGCTTCTTGATCCGGGGGCTCCTGCTGGACGGGGCGGCTGATGGCATCCGCGTCATGTTCACCCCCAAGGTGAGGTGCCAGGGGGTGCCCCAGATCTTCTCCTCCCCTGAGCAGTGCCAGGACCCAGCCCCTGAACTTGCCTCCTTTCTCCAGGCAGTACCAAGCCCCCCTGGCTCCTCCAACCCCTCCTCCACTCCCCCAGAAACTGGCTGTCCCCCACCCCCACTGATCCTTGATGCCCATCACCCCCCACTTGCCCCTAGCCTACCTTGGACAGGGACTCTCCATTGATCACTAACCTCTAACCCCTGAACCCTCTTGGGCAGGGTGAGTGGTGGACCCCCCCTGACCCCATTGTCCCAAACAAAGGGGCTAGGAGCAGCGGGTGAAGTGCTTGATCCCCTTTATGGACTTGACCCAGCCAGCTTCCATTAGCCAGGGCATCCCCAGGCACCGCACTAGGGCTGTGCTCACCTAATGCCCCATGGGAAGCCTGGGGCAGGGAAGGGCATGGGGATTCTCCTCCATCCCCTTTGAGGCAGGCTGGGAGGATATCTAGGGCCCAGGGCCCCATCACAAGAGGCATGGCCTTGGTGAAAGGCTGACGGGGGTTTGGATTTGGGGGACTGAAGGGGAGAAGGAAGGGCTCAGACCTACATTAACCACTGGCTGCCCGCAGCTGTCCATCTGGGGAGATGTGCAGGTGTGGCGCCAGGCAGCTACCCAAGTGTTCTTCGCACTGGGCCTGGGCTTCGGCAGCATCATTGCCTACTCGAGCTACAACCCACGGGGCAACGATTGCCACTGTGACGCCCTGCTGGTGGCCGCCATCAACTTCCTCACCTCCGTGCTCGCCACCCTCGTTGTCTTCGCTGTGCTGGGCTTCCGTGCCAACATCCTCACCCAGACCTGTGTGGTGAGGTGAGGCCCCGTCCTGCCTTTCCCTGTGCTGTCACCAGGACCCTGTGTTGTGCGGCAAGTCCCTGCCCCTTCCCCAGGCTACACTAAGGTGTGTCACACAGTGATGTCTCCTCCCCCCAGTGTTGTCACCAGGGTCATGTGTTGTATGAGGAGACCCCATCCTGCCCCTTTTTGTGCTGTCACCAGGATTGTGTGTCGCACAAGGAGACCTGCCCCTCCCTGTGCTGTGAACAGGGTCTGTAATGGGTGGTGAGTGTGATGTCACCAGGGCCTGTGTGTCACAGTGAGGCCCCTATTCCTCCCCCTTCCCAGGGCAGCACCAGGAGGGCATGCTACATAGCAGAACCCCCAGTAACCCCCTTCCCCATGCTGTTACCAGGGCTGCTCCCTGTACTGTCATCGGGAGTACATCAGCCAGCCTGTCCCAGCCCCTGCCCCCATCCTCATTCAATCACAAGAGCGTGCATTGCGCAGAAAGACCCTAACCCCTCTCATTCCCCTGCCTTTTCCTGGGTGTGCATTGCACAAGGAGATCCTGACCCTCCCAGCCTCATCTTCACTGGGAGATGCTCACTGGTCCCTGCCCCCATCACCAACCCGTCCATTGCACAGGGACCTCCTAGCTCCTCTCTGCTATGCCCAGTCACTCAAGCATGCATCGCACATGGACCTGCTGATACAATCTCTCTCTCCTCCAGGAACACGGAGCAGCTATCCTGGCTGCTGGGTAACAAGTCCATCCCAGGCTTGGAGCTGTCTCTGGGGAACCTCTCTGAGTTCTCCCCCTCCACGTACAGCACCTGGTACCAGGGGATCCCTGCCGGCCTGGGGATGAAGTTAAAGGAGTATGGGATCAATGAATGTCGGGTGGAGGAGGAGATGAACAAGGTACCTGGGGTGGATGCTCCCCACTCACCGCAAGGGCTAGCCCCAGTGCTAGGGTGGGCTGTGCTGCAGAGGTGGCTGCATCTCCACTGGGAGTAGGGGCCCTGTATAAACAGCTCCCCACAGTGTGCCCCACTTCAGAGGCAGCTGCATCCCAGCACTGGGCGAGGAGGCCCTGTATGCCTAGCTCTATGCAAGGGGCAGCTGCATCCTGGTCCCTGTATGCCTAGCCCCTGACATGTCCCACCCCAGAGGCAGCTGCATCTCAGCAGTGGCTGAGGGATCCCTGTATACCCAGCCCCACCCCAGAGCTGGCTGCATCTCAGCACTTGGAGAAGGGTCCTTATATAAATACCTTTGCACAACATAACCCTTCCTAAAAGTGGCTGCATCCTTGCACTGGACAAGGGGTCCCTGTATGCCCAGCCCCTGACATGTCCCATCTCAAAAGTAGCTGCATCTCAGCACTGTAGAAAGGGTCCTGTATACCCAGCCCCACCCAAGAGGCAGCTGCATCTCCTGGTACAGCGGCATGTCCTGCTTTCTGCAGGGCGTGGAGGGCACTGGCTTGGCTTTCATCGCCTTCACCGAGACCATGACTCTGTTCCCGGTCCTCTTCTTCTTCATGCTTCTGAACCTGGGGCTGAGCACAATGCTTGGCAACATGCAAGGCATCCTCACCCCCTTGATGGACAACTTTGCCCCCCTGCGCCGGAGACGCACCCTCTTCACAGGTCTGGGGGGAATGGGAGGGGTGGAGCAGGGCTGGGGGAAGTACAAACACTTTTTGCTGGGGGGGGGAGGGGGCATGGGCCTTGAAGAGTCTGTGCACACTGATGCACGAGGATCTTTGTACATGTATCTGAGGGAGGTGGGAGCGCACACGTGTGTGTGTGTGTGTACATGTGCACAAGGGATTGTTTGCATAGGGAAGGATAGAAGGTGGGTGTATGCAGGGGGAGTATTTGCATGAATTCTGGCACATGTGCAAGGGGGTGTTTCCACAAGGACAGACATGAGTGTCTGTCTGCATGAGGACAGGCATGAGCAGGGTGCTGCCTAGCACACGTGCTAGGGGCTGTTTGTGCAGCTGCCAGTGGTGTACATGAGCACGTGACCACCTTGCAAAACCCTCTGACCGCCCTCCCCATTTTCCCCCCTTCTCCCAGTGCTGAGCTGCACCCTGGGCTTCCTGCTGGGGCTGGTATTTGTGCAACACTCGGGCAGCTACTTCGTGGCCATGTTCGATGACTATTCGGCCACTCTGCCCCTCGTTGCTGTCGTGGCCTGCGAGGCTGTGGCCGTGGCCTGGGTCTATGGGGCAGAGAGGTGAGGAGCCCCCTGCCATTCTGCCCCCAAACACCCCCACTTCTCCCTGATGCTCTATTTCCTCTGCCGAAAACCCTCCCAGTTGCCTCCTCTTGCCCCCACCCAGCTCCCTGTAACATCTGACAGTTACCCGTGCAGCCTGTCCAGCCATGGCCTGGCTCTTGGTGGGGGTGGGGGATACTTAATTAACCTTCCTGTTGGTGTTTTTAAATAAGTATGCAAATGTGTGCTGGAGGAGGCGCTATTTTGAGCAGCACCCTCCCCTTCCCAGCCAGTAACTCTCCCCCTCCCCCCACATCTAACCCCTCCTGCCTTGATCTACACTTCCTGCCCTGATCTAGCCTCCTTCCAGCTGTGGTCTAACCTCCCCCAGGCCTTAGTTAACCCCCCCAGCCCTGATCTAATCTCTGTCCCTGTGTCCCCTCCCCTGCAGGTTCCTATCAGACATCGAAGACATGCTGGGCTGGCGTCCCTGGAAGCTCTACAGCTACATGTGGCGCTATGGCAGTGTCCTGGCCATGCTGTGCCTGCTGCTAGCCAGCCTGGTCAACCTGTGCCTGGGGCATCCCACCTACCAGGCCTGGGACCGGGCAGAGGTGAGACCCCCCCAACCTCTCTCACCCCCATGGGCCTGGATCATCTGGATGTGGACTGGAGACCAAGTAGTAGGGGCCCTTAGGGGCAGATTTGGGGGAGAGGGGAGAGACTCTCCAAACTAAGCTAGGGGGACCTGATGTGAGGGGCAGAGAGAAGGCCTGCTACTGGTGTAGATGGGCCTGTGGGGTTGAGCCAGGGGAGGAAGGAGGCCTGAAGCCCAAGTAGATGAGCTTGCAGCAGAGCTGAGCCTTGTTCCTCTCCTGCAGGCGGCCAAGACCAAGCTGCCGTACCCACCCTGGGCCATGGCAACCCTTGTCTCCCTAATCGTGGTGGCTGTCCTGCCCATCCCTGCCCTCTACCTCTGCCAGCTGCTGCGGGAGTGGCTGGCACGGCGAGGAGGGTGCCCCAGCCTGGAGGGGATGCTCCCGGTAGCAGACAAGGAAGAGGAGGAAGAGGAGGAGAGCCCAGCTGACCCAGAGCACCCGGCTAATGGGTACCTGCCTGTGCAGACCGAGGACCCCCCTGAGGGTGGGGAAGAGGCCAGGGCCACCCTCTTGGGGGGGTCAAACTAACTCAGTGGAGGTTTGGCACAAGGGGGCAGAGGGCAAAGGTCAGAGGTCATCGGAAGCAGTGTCTTGATGCAAGTCTCCCAGCCTATCCAGGCTTGGGGCGGGGGTCCCCTCACCATTTGAGGGAGTCACTATGGGGCTGGTGCCCCATGGCACATGCCTTCCCCAAGCAAGGCCTGATTGCTGGAGAGAGAAGCATTCCTATTGGTGAAGCATCAGAGGACACAATCTCTGATTGGCTGGGGATGCATGATGGGGAGACAGCTCTGATTTGGTGAAGGGAATGGGACTGCGGCCTCTGATTGGCGGAGCCTGAAGCCAGAACCGGTGGGGCAATTAGGGAAAAATGAAAGGCAGGAGAGCAGCATTGGATTGGTGGATAGAAGAGAGGCAGTGACTTCTTATTGGTGGATCAAAGGCTGAAGCTTTGGATGGATAGACTGAGGGGATGGATGCTCCCTCCCCAGTCCTAATGGATAGGACCCTGGCTGGGGGAAATGGGACAGCCTGCCTGGCAGTGTCACCCCCACCATCCAACTGTCTCCTGTACATTTGGGATGGCCATCTTGCTCTCGCCCCTTGGCAGCAATTGGGACCGCCATCTTGTTTGTCTACTAATGCTTCTTAGGACAGTCATGTTGTCTTCTTACTGATGTCACCCATGCCTTGATGACCCAGAGGACCCTTCTGTCCGTGGAGGGTGCGGGAGTAGAGGCACTCTCAGAAGCACGGTGCTAACATCCCGTTGAAACCACCAGCAATTCAACTACCTGGGCCTGTCCACCTGCCCATGCCTCTGGGCAGAAGGTGTCTACCTCCAAGAAACAGACCTGTATTCACCTTGGGGGAGGTCATGGCCTTGAATTCCTGTCAGGGCCAAGACCAAGACATTTCCAGGACCTGGGGCCATCTCAGTGTGAGCTGGTGTTGACAGTGGGGGTTGACCAGCAGGCCTGAAAGGTTGGGGCTATCATCTCTGCCCCAACAAAAGTCAGTCCTTCTGCCTGTAGTTAATTGTCTCATCAGGGTATTCTAGCTGGGACAAGGAAGGGAGATTCCTAGTGAACCCAAGATTGGGGCTGGGATGGGGCCTTAGTTCCGGGAAGTTTCCTGGATTAAGAGAGTGGGCTGGTCCACAGAGAGGAGAACAGCCTACTATTGCTGCTAGCTGGGTGGTGTCCCCTAGCCATGCCTGGGGCAGCCAACTTGTCTTCCTGTCAGTGCCATTCTCTCCCATGATACCTCAGGTAGTCATTTCCCTGGCCTGGAGGTCCCAGCCCCTCCACTTTGGGGGAGAGGCCAGGGCTTTTGCCATTCCAGGTTCGAGTCCTGGAATTATCCCACACAACTTGGTGGGAGCAGGACTCAAACCTGGAATGGCAAAAGTCCAGGCCTCTCCCCCAACCTGGAGAGGCTGGGAACCTCCCAGCCTCGTCCCACCAGGCTGTGGGGGACAATTCAGAATTCAACCCCCGCGCTGCTGAATACACCTGCTGTGTGAAGGAATGGCCTCATGGGGTGGAAGTGAAGCATGGAGAGGAGGTTTCTGGGGCCGCAGCTGCTGTCTATGCTAATGATAGCAACAGTAGCATGAGGCAAGGTCTGGGGAGCTGGATGGCCCTATGGCATTACTGCTCTGACTTCTGTACTGGCGGGGTTCTTGGAGGCAACTGGACGCCGGGGCTCCAGTTCTAAAGAGAAAAAGCCCCACAGTGATTCTAGTTCTTATGCCCAAGGAGGGAAAGGGGCAGGATTTCATCACTTCCACCTCTTGCTCATGGGGTGAGCTTGGAGTTGCCCTGAAGAATGTAGGTACTTGGCTCCCCCAAACCTTCATGTAGTCCATCTCTCCCTCTGGCCAGTTCTTCACAACTCCACTGCTGCATGTACCCTTCTCTCAACACTCCCCAGCCCTCACCAAGCTCACTGACCTCAGCCCTTCAAGGTTCGGACTCTCCACTTCTATCTCCTGGAGCCAGATTCTACTTGACTACATAGCAGCAACAATGCTTTGCGGCACCTGGAATTCTTAGGGGGCTTTAGAGCACAGGCCGGGGCACCAGGCCCCTGGGTTAAGTTCCCAGGTCTGCCACCAACTCCCTCTATAGTCACTGGGCAAGTTACTCGGCTGCTCTGGGTCTCAGTTTCTCCCAGCTGTGAAATGGGGGTAATGGTGCTTTGCCTGTTCAGAACAGAAGTTGATCAGGGCAAGACCCATCTCACCTGCCCTAGTGAAGCAGTGACCTTGCTCTCAGCTCTCAGGGCTGGCCAATACCTGCCCCTATGGGGCCTCTGATCTTTATGGCAGCTTGTAGGTACTATAAGGGATGGAGTGTTATACTTTGTACTGTGCCATGTAAATGTAAGCCTGGTCAAGTGGTGCTGGGCCTCAGGACACCTGGGTTCTTTTCTCAGCTCCACTTCTGACTTTGAGTTAGTCCCCTGTGTGCCTCAGTTTCCCCTACCAGCCATGGGTAGACTGGCAAGCTGTTGGGGTAGGTACTGACTTTCTCAGCTCTCAACCCATGCCATTACCATCCCCCATTCCCTCCATGGACAAAAGGGAGGTGGGGAATCTCTGCAGTGCCTGGAACAAAAAGGATACCTTAATTTCATCTAGGAGCATGACTGGGCAGTGCCTTGACCTGGGTCAGGCCATTTTAGGTGCTAATGCAATGCTAATATTTAAGGATGCCAATGGAGGGAGGAAAGGGAGTTAATGTTACACTTTTGCACTTAAGAGACAGCTGTGTGCATCACCCATACATGTGTGAGTGTAGGTCATGGCTCTCTTTTTACATTTTGTTCATGTCTGGCTCTGGTCACCCTTGGGAAGGGGACTAGAATTGACCTTTGCCAAGGGACTGGGTCAAACCCTGGGTAAACTCCCTACCCCCTCCTTGCACTCTGCAGTGACATTCCACACACGCTTTGCATCCTGATCATCATACAAAGCCACAAATGGGCCCTTGCACGTGGGGGGAAGGGCTGTGGCTTACTTGTGCGGATGTGACCTGGGACTCACAACTCCTTGCGTGTGGGCCTTGTGTCAGTGCCACCATGACTTGCCTCATCCCCATGTGGTCATGAAATGTGCAATGGCCTCGTGGTCACACCTATGTGTGACTGGTGGCACTGAAGAGGCATGACACCAGGGAGAAGGGCATAGATGTCCTCATGCCAGCCCTGATGCAAGGGCATAAGGGGGGGCCTCCCACAGTTTTGTACAAGGCTGGTGTGTGTGTGTGTTGGGGGAGGGGAGGAAATGGGGAGCAAGGACCCCCCCCCCTTGTCCTGATGTTGTGAGCAGGGCCTGAACCCCTGCCCATGATTGTCACCCAATAAAACTGGATGGAACCTGCCTGGAGTTGCCCCGTGTCTGGTTGGCGGGGGGGGAGGTTGATCACCCCCCCAGGAAGATTTGTGGGGAGTGGGGTGCTGTGGCCTTGGCCAGTGAGAGTGGGGTGTGGGGGGAGGGTCAGTGGGAGCATGGGGTGACCCTCCCCCTTAGTAGGGACCTACCTAAAATCACAGTGACACAGGGATTTTCGCATGAGGATTCATGGTGAGTCCCCCTCCTTGCCCATGATTACCTGAGGGGACCCCGTAGCCACGCCCCTTGTTGCTGATTGGCCAAAAGGCAAAAACCACACCATAATTAAAAGCAAAAGTCCACAGAACTACCAAATTAGTTACTGTGTTATTATAAATCTAAATGGAAATATTAATCTAGAACGTATGAGCAATATGACCTGTAACTAACAACATCAGAATTTATCATTAGCATTCTACCAAAAAAAAGTCAGGATACAAGGAAAAATTTCTTCACAGTTTGTGTGACCAGACTGTGGAACAGACTCCCAGCAGAGGTGGTGCAAGCACCTACCATGGAGATCTTTAAAAGGAAACTGGGCACACACCTTGCTGGGGTAATTTGACCCCAGCAGTCTTTCCTGCCCAGAGCAGGGGAGCTGGACCCAATGATCTCATGAGGTCCCTTCCAGCCCTAAACTTCTGTGAATAATGCTAACCTCGATAAAAGCAGGTCATGCGAGCTGTTAGCTGCCCGTGGCAGTTGAGATCCTCCCTCTCTGGTGTGAGCGCTTACCCATACACTGGAATCGCACATTCTGCATCCACCGAATTGGCCGGGATGGTCAGGCAGCATTTCGCCAAGTCATAGAGATGTGGAAACTGATTAGAAACAGACTCCCAGAACACAGAAACTGTCAGAGGCCTCTGGCAGTCTTTGAGAAAGCTCATGTAAGCAGTGTGTTCCTGGTCATGCTCTTTCCCCCAGCCAGGGATTGATTTCAGGAGCTGAGGGTCAAAACTCAGAAAAGGTGCCTGATTGGGGTCAAAAATACGAACTGCACTGAAAAAGGAGGCAGCCGGTTGTCTAAACCGTGGGGGCAGTGCTGGATCATACTTGTAGTACTGATTCAGTGTGGCAGCAATGGCCTGGAACAGCTCTTGCCTTCGCTGGTTTTCCTGCAGACCGTCTGCAAGCTGTTGCGATGCCATGTCTTCCACCCAACTGATCAGGTCCATCAGCTTGTTGTGCACGTGGTGAATCGCGGCCTGTGGGTTTTCAAACCATGTCAGTAGCTCCACGAACCGCACCACGTTTTTTGCTACAAACTTCACTTGGTCCTCGAGGTCGCCCTGCCTTAAGAGCTCCCGCAGCCACAGCACGCCCCGCGTGCCGGGTGCCACCTCCAGCTCCTTGCTCACAAACTGGGCGTAGCACTGCATGTGCTTGGCATGGTAACACACGGCGTCAAACCACGCGCTCCACCGGTTTGACTCAGGCGGGAGTGCCACAGTGGCACACAGCTCCCCACTCTGCTGTGCAAGGGCCTCGCAGTAGCGCAGCGCACGGCCTGGGCAGTCCTTGAGGGCCTTTTTGAAGGCGCCCACTAAGCCGTCCACAGCAGGGAAGCGTGCACGCCAGGCCTCGCCAGCAAGCGCCACAATGCGCGCATTGCAGGCCACGTGCACCGCGTGCGGCATCACGCCACACAGCACATCGGAAAACGCCCTGCTCATGTATGTGGCGTCATGGGAGAGGAAAGCTGTGACCTGGTCGAAGTCCACCCCACAATTCACCACAGCGGTGACCACGGCCCGTGCCACGGTGGAGAAGTTGAGCGAGGCGAGCATCGCAGGCTCAGCCTGAAAGATGGGGGTGGTGCGGGGGTCCCAGGCACCGGGCACGAGCAGCACGTGCAGCACGTAGCGACCACGCGCGTCCGTGGCCTCACTGGCGGCCACGGAGACACGACGGTGGCGGGCGAGCAGCTGGCGCGCAGAGGGTGCAGGCACGGCGCGGGGCAGCGCGGGCAGGTAGTCCTGGCGCAACTTGTTGGCACACGGGAAGCTGCCGGCGT